CCAGCCTCTGCTCATCCAGCACCGGCTCCCCTTCCTCCTCCACCACCTCCGTCACCGCCGACCTAAAGTCCTGCGCATGAGGGGAGCAAACAAGAATACAGAGGAAAGGTTTTTTTTTTTTTTTTAAGAAGACAAAAGGTGCACAAGATGGGGAAAATTACAAGGAATGAAGGAAATAGTTGTGAGGATGGAAGGAGGAAGGGAGGAGAGACGCAGTGAAAAGGCACAGAGGAATGAGAAAAATGAAAGGAAGGTCAGATCCTCCTAAACATCCTTCCTGCCACCCTCCCTCCGTATTATCTCAGTACTTTGGGTTCTGTCCAGGCATTCAGGAAAGGTGGCCCCGCTTGCACACCAGGTGTTGCTACATAATGACTTTACTCAATGATACGATGAGGTTTTGGACCAAGATCCTGCTTTTCATGTCATCGTAGACAGGAAGCCTAAAAACACATTGATACATCACTTATCTTGCTTTCTTGAAGTGCACGCAGAGCACATAAAGCATGAGCAAGGAGCATTAATAACTGAGGTATCAGTGACTAATAAGATATTTATGGCACTTTGGAGTGAAAGATCAGGGGAGAGCTGATTTATCCTCTCAGCTAATGAACTCAAAAAGTGAAAACGGATGACTCATTAGGAGACTCGATATTAGTTTTCTTTGTCCAAAGCTGCTGTGTGACAATCTGCAGATCTAAGGAACAATTAGTTTTGTCTCGAGTGCAGACATAAAACAAACAGACATGTCTCAGCTGGGCAAGAGATAATGGGATATAACCAATGGTGTAGTCTACGTGATATGCGGGTGTACGGAGTATACCCACTAGTAAAGCTTAAGAATTTCAGTATACCCACTTAAAAGTGCCCAATGATACATGACATATCATTAGACACGTCATTGATATATTAAACAGCAGTTAAACGTTTCCGTAACAATCTATCTATATACAGCACTTACTTATTAAGTGCATAACAGATTATAAAGGAAGGAGTGAACAATGCCCCAAAGACCCATCTCTGCCTGATGCCCTCAACAAGTTCTATGCACGCTTTGAAGACCCTAACAGACCACCCAGCACCAGACTCACCTCACCACTGGATGAAGAGCATCTCAGCATGACCTCAGCCAAAATAAGGAGTACCTTCAAGAGGATTAATCTGCACAAAGCAACCGGCTCAGACAACATCCCTGGAAAAGTGTTGAAAGAATGTGCCGATCAGCTCTGTGAGGTGCTGGCAGACATCTTCAACACCTCACTTACCCTGGAGACAGTTCCCACCTGCCTGAAGACTGTCACCATCGTCCCAGTCCCAAAAAGCTCTAGAGTGACTGGTCTGAATGACTATCGGCCAGTGGCCCTCACCCCGATAGTTGCTAAATGCTTCAAAAAACTGGTCATGACTCACATCAAAACAACCATCAACATCAACGAGGACCCTCATCAGTATGCATACCGTGAGGACCGATCAACAGAGGATGTCATCTCCTCCGTGGTCCACACTGCGCTCAACCACCTGGAGCAGAAAAACTCTTACGTCCGTATGCTCTTTGTGGACTTCACATCCGCCTTCAATACCATGATCCCCCAAATCCTGATGGGCAAACTATTCACACTAGGACTAAGCCCCTCCATTTGCAACTGGGTACTAGACTTCTTAACAAACAGACCACAGTCAGTGAGGATCCACAACTTCTCCTCCTCCACCATAACCCTCAGCACTGGCTCTCCTCAGGGATGTGTGTTGAGCCCCCTCCTGTTTACTCTGCTCACGTATGATTGTGCAGCTACCCATCCAGGCTGTCACAATGTGGGGTTTGCAGATGATACAGCGGTGGTGGGATGCATCACAAACAATGATGAGTCCAGCTACAGGCAAGAGGTGGAACACCTGGAGAGCTGGTGCAAAGAGAATAACCTTCACATCAATGTGAAGAAGACAAAGGAGATGATTGTGGACTTCAGAAGGAACAAAAACATCTACACCCCCCTGAACATAAGAGGATCTGTGATGGAAGTGGTCTCCAGCTAAAAGTACTTGGGTGTACACATGAATGACAACCTCAGCTGGAGCACCAACACCACCAGCCTGATCAAGAAAGCTCATCAGAGACTCTACTTCCTCAGGCAGCTGAGGCGAGCTGGTCTGGGAAGCTCAGTCCTCACCTCCTTCTACAGGTGTGCAGTGGAGAGCATCCTGTGCTCCAGCATCAACGTGTGGCTTGGAGGCTGCACAGCTGCAGAAAGAAAAGCTTTGCAGAGAGTGGTGAAGGCTGCACAGAAATCTGTTGGAATCAGTCTCCCCACCATCACAGACATCTACACCTCCAGATGCAGGAAGAGGGCCACCTGCATCATGAAGGACCCCACCCACCCAGCACACACACTTTTTGCCCCACTCCCCTCAGGAAGGAGGTTAAGGAGCATTAAGTGTAGAACCACTAGACTGAGGAACAGCTTCTACCCTGAGGCTGTTAGACTCATGAATCTCTAACTAGAATAATCACTGTGAAAAACCATATCATGTTGCTGCTGATCTGTTTCATGTTGCTGCTGATCTGTTTCATGTTGATGTGTTCATGCGTGCACATCTGCTCACAGACTCATGTTCATGTTTGTGCTGATGTTCAATGTTTTATGTTATGAGTGCTTAGTGTATATTTAGTTGATGTTCTTCTTAGTTCATATCTTAGATGTTATTACTGTTTTTCTTATACATTTTATTGTTGGATGTAACTGGGACCCTGTGTACATAATTTCGCTCCACCACATGTACCACATGAGGTGCGAATGACAATAAAGAAACTCTGACTCTGACTCTGACT